GAGAGAAACATCAATTGGTTGCCTCCTGTACATGTTCTGACTGGGGATTGAACCCACAACCCATTGGGGTACATGACAACACCCTAATCAACTGAGCCACCTGGCCAGGGCTCATGCTTAGCTAATTTAATGGCATTTCTTAAGGACCAAAAGTCAGGTAGATAATTGGGAATCAATTAAATAAAACCTATTTAGGATCTCACAATATTTGACAAAACTTACAAAAATTTAGCAAATATGTAAGTTATATAGGCTTTTTAATTTATTGATGCTGCCCTTTGATTGGCCCTTGGGTATACAAAAACAGTAAAAGCAGGAACAGCTCTTTAAATCAACGTTCTGCGAAAAAGTAACAAAAAATCGGACAAATTTATACATTGTAAGATAAATCTAAAAAAGTGTGGAATCCCCAAACTCCAGGGATTGACAGTAGAAGCTCTTCAGGATAGACCATAGGGGGAAAGTAACCAATTTTAATGTGGGCAGGAGAGAGAAGATAGGGTACTTGGGTCTGAAAGCTCCAGGTTCATGGTTCAGTGTTCTGCATTTTGTGTGACTGCTTTTATGAAGTGCAACTTTTTCACCCGATTCCTCTTCCCATCATGTCTCAGGGGCTCAGAGGGATGCTTGCTTATAGGTTCTGAGTATCTGTGTTCATAGTCACTCATGAGCCAGCCTGCTGCTGCCCCAGGAATTCTGACAGTGGCTGTCTGCCTTCCCTGGGTGGCTACTGCCCTCTGTGTTCCCTCAGGCCAGTAGAGACCCAGGTCCTTCCCTCAATCCCCAAAGGACAGCCAAGTCCAGGTTCTAGATTTTTATACAGATTTTTTTTTTGGGGGGGGGTGTAGGGAAATTACAATGCAGAAAAGAACAAATTTCAGTTTTGCCAATTTTACTATTCCTGGAGTCCAGGGGTCATGACCCTCCCTGGGAGGCTGGGACAGGTCCTCTTTCTTTGGATTGCCCCAACCTGACATCTTTTCTTGTCTATTACAACATGCTTTTAGAAATATCCTCATAATTTGCAGTCAAACTCCACTCACTCCTCTGGGGCTCACTTGAAGGAAAAATAAAAGATTTATGTTAAACACAGGTACATTATCAACCTCACAGGAATGCTGAAGTTTTATCTAATAAAGTTGTAAATTTTTTAAAGACACATTGAAATTAAAAATTTTTAAATATTTTATTTATTTTTAGAGAGACAGGAAGGAAGGGAGAAAAAGACGGGAGAGAAAAATCAATGTGTAGTTGCCTCTCATGTACCCCCTACCAGGGACCTGGCCTGCAACCCGGGCATGTGTGCTGACTGGGAATCAAACTGGTGACCCTTGGCTTCATAGTCTGGTGCTCAATCCACTGAGCCACACCAGCTAGGGTAAAATTAAAATTTTTTTTAATTTGTTGATTTTATAGGGGGTGGAGAGAGAGGTGTTTATTTTTCCACTTACATGTATTTATGCACTCATTGGTTGATTCTTGTGTATGCCCTGGCCAGGTGTCAGACCTGCAACCTTGGTATATCAGGATGACACTCTAACCAATGGAGCTACACAGACAAAGTCTAAAAACTTCTTGTGTTTATAAACTTAATTTCAGAATAGAATTTTGGTGTTCCCAGTGGGCAAATGTACACACTGACATGTTTCTCTGCTTTGAGACATTAAGTTTTACATATTTTTTGAACTACAGAAGAATTTTAAAAATATCCAATACCACTTTTGTTATTTAATACAATTACGAAAGTCTTGCATATAGAATATGAAGGTCTTGAATCAATTTGGGAATGACATAGTCACAGTGGCTCTTCTCACAGTTAGAAAATATGTTAAAAATTATTTAAGAAGAGAACATTGAGGTAGACTCATGACTGACCAAGTGTTTGCAACCTCATGCCTGCTTCATTGCTGTCATCTAACTAGCCTGACCAGCAAAATGCAGGAAGAGGGAGGTACATTTTGAGACCATGAATGTGCCATTTGTCAGCATAGTTGTGGGTTTTTCTAGGGACATTTTCAGCCCTTCAGGGAAAGCATGAAGCAAGCACATACACACAACATACAACAGATGAGACCTCACAGCACCCTTACCTGGGAGTCATTTATTCATTCAATAAGTAAGTCTATTGTACTTGATCGCATCTTGAACCTGGGCATAAAAAGATGAACAAACGGAAGAGGGCCCTGGACACATGCAAGCCATTTTCTAACACAGAGGAGACTTTTAGGAGACCTAGTCTTCAACTGACATAAACTTAGGATACTAATATGTCAGGGCCATCCAGAGAAGAGTATAGGCCTGGAGTTGCCAGCCAATGTGCCCATGAAGATCACACACAAGAAAAGGCTTCCCTGTTGGCATCTCCCACACACATTTTTGGACGGTGTCATAAACAGAACTTGAGAGACTGAATTTAGATGATGTTAAAAGATAAGAGGGCTTCCACTCAAGATGGCAACATAGGTAGACATGACTAACCTTTTTGCACAACCACATCAAATTACACGTAAAATATAGAACAACAATCACTTAGGAATGTCAGAAATCTAGTTGAACAGAAGTCTAAGAATGACAAAACCGAGTTAAATGGAAGTCTGGCAACTACGGAACTGATGCAACCACATCCATCCAGACTGGTAGGAGGGGCATGGACACAGAACAGGCTGGCCCCACATCCATGGAGATAAAATTCAGGAGGGATATCTCAGGAGTGAGGAGTCCCAGCCTCACATCAGGCCCCAAAGCCCAGGATTCCAGTGCCAGGAAGATAAGTCCCCACAACCTCTGGCTGTGAAAATCCAGTGGGGATTGAGTCAGTGGAGGAGGCTGCTGAAGCCGTAAGCAGTTCCTCTTGGGGAACCCAAACATGGACTCACCTACTCAGACTCACTCCCTCTGAGCCCCGGTACCGGGGTGGCAGCCTGAAGGGTACCAGTGGTATACAGGGAGAGAGTATCTGGCACTGTGGTAAGCAGAGGCGACTGTCCCTCTGATAAGCCCTCCCCCTATAGAGCCAGTAAGTTGGTGCCATATCTGAGACTCCATCAACCAGGCTAACACTGTGTGACCCACCTTGGAGATCACAGGGGCTCTATCCCACCTCCTTTATGGGCCCAGCCAAGCTTCTTTTCCATAAGAATAGCTGGTCTTGGCTCCTGACTCCTATCAAGCAAGCAACAGCTGGCTTCAGTGAGCCCTAGAGGCAGCCACATTAGAATAACAGCTTGGCTTCACCTAGGAATCTCCAAGCCCAGCACAAGTAGCAGCCATCTCAGATTGCTTTATAGCTCAGGCAAGGTGCCCCAGGCAAAACACAGGTGGTGGCTGACCTTGTCCTATACCACTCAGGAAACCCCAGGGTCAGTATACCCCGTGGACAACTACAGACAACGTTGGAGCACCACCACCCTACCCCTGTGCAGCTGATCCTACATGGAGGGTGGAGGTTGATGGTCAGTAGTCACAGCCAAGACTTGCAGCTGACTGGCCTGGGTAAATCCTTCCTGTTGACCTGCCAAAAGCAACCAAGGCTCAGCTACAAGAGAAGGGTGACACAAAGGGTGTACCTTGAGTACCCAGCTTAAATGATAGGAAAGGCTATGTCACTGGACCCTACAAGACATCTACTATATTAGGCCACACTACCAAGACACATAGTCAAAGCAGCTCTACTTAATACATAGAAACGAACACTGGAGGATGCCAAAATGAGACAAAGAAACATAGCCCAAATGAAAGAACAGATCAAAACTCCAGAAAAAAGAGCTGAACAAAATGGAGATAAGCAATCTATCAGATGCAGAGTTCAAAACACTGTTTATAAGGATGCTCAAGGCACTTAGTGAGGACCTCAGCAGCATAAATAAGACCCAGTCAGAAACGAAGGATACACTAATTGAAATAAAGAACAATTTATAGGGAAACAATGGCAGAGTGGATGAAGCCGAGAATAAAGTCAATGATTTGGAACATAAGGAAGCAAAAAACTACCAATCAGAACAACAGGAAGAAAAAGAATCCAAAAAATGAGGATAGTATAAACAGCCTCTGGGAAAATTTAAAGAGGTCCAACATTCGCCTCATAGGGAGGCCTGAAGGAGAAGAGAAACTACAAGAAATTGAAAATGTATCTGAAAAAATAGAAAACTTCCCTAAAGTGGTGAAGGAAATACACATGCAAGTCCAGGAAGCACAGAGAGTCCCAATTATGATGGATGCAAAGAGGCCCACTCCAAGCCACATCATTATTAAAAGGCTAAAGGTTAAAGACAAAGAGACTCTTAAATGCAAGAGAAAAGAAGTTACCAGAACGTCACCAGATGGGCGAGGGGAGGGGGGAAATGGGTGAAGAAGTGAGGGGATTAAGAAGTGCAAATAGGTAGTCAGAGAATAGCCACGGGGATGTAAAATACAGTATAGGAAACAGAGTAGCCAAAGCTTATACACATGACCCTTGTACATGAACAATGGTGGGGGGATTGCCTGAGGGAATAGGGACCTCTGGGTGGAAGTGGGCAAAGGGAAAAATCAGGACAACTGTAACAGCATGATCAATACAAAATGATAACAATAAAGAATATTGACCCTTGCCCCATTTGGGTCTATCTTGGGACACAGGGCAGCCAACCTCTGGCCCTATCTAAAGTCTATCCTGAGAAATGTGCACATCACTACAATGCCTCACTGAGGGATCAAAATCACCCCGAGTTGTGATGTCCATGTGTTACAGAGTGAGAGTTTTAGAGGGGGGAATGGCCAATGGAGTGTGCCCACCAATAATCACCAAGCCCCCTGGTCTGGAACATTAGGAGTTAACTGAGCAACGGACACAGGACGGGTGGGGGGTGGGGGTGTTCTGTGTGGCACAGTTGAGGAAGGCATGGAGGTATTGCTTTCCTCTCTCAAGCGACAATCTTGCATTTTAGAGTTTGCAGTCAGTCCTTCTTTGTGATTACATCACCACATGTCAAAAAGACTTCAGTCAAGAATCTCTGAAGCTAATGCTGCACAAGGGAGTCACAGGAAAAGGACACTATCTGAAGGATAACAGAGAGATCAAAGAGACTAGAAAGGACACAGCCAGAGGTAGGCGGCAGCTCTCAGAAGTCGGCAGTAGCCACCCTTTATGCAGCCAGCAGACACCTGGAGCTAATACCTGTGACTGAGGGTCTGCACGTCACGGAGAGCTGGTGCTGATGGACACAGGCCCTGCGGCAGCCACTGATTCACCAGGGCCACGCCAGTGGCCACCTCTGTGAGACACTCTGCCTCTTCCTTGCCTTCTCTAAGGAAGAAGCAAGTGCTTCTGTGTGAGACAAGAAGAGTGCTTCAATTCAGGCTCCCCAGATGAAGGGCTTGGGGCTGGTACTGGTGCCAGGATCTTCACATGCAGCGTTGGGCATCATGCTGGTGTTGGTACTGAGTTTCCTGCCAAGCTTCTACTGTGCCCTGGGATCAGCACGTTACTCTTCCTATGAAATAGTCACCCCCGGGGCTCTGACAGTTGAGGGAAGGGAAGACCCAGTGGAAGAGGTATCTTACGTGATATTTATGCAGGGCCAGAAACAGCTGATCCACCTGAAGGTGAAGAGAGACCATTTTGTCAATAACTTCCCAGTCTTCAGCTACCACAATGGCACCCTGGGACAAGAAAGGCCTTCCGTCTCACATGACTGTCACTATGAAGGCTACATAGAAGGAGTCCCAGGGTCTTTTGTTTCTGTCAACACCTGCTCAGGCCTCAGGGGCGTCCTGATTAAGGAGGGACGGTCCTATGGCATTGAGCCCGTGGACTCTTCACAACACTTTACCCACGTGCTGTACACCACGGCACATCAAGCTCGAGTCTCCTGCAGCGTCACTCCCGAAGACAGCCAAGTGGTGTCCCCCCAGCAGGCAACAAGGGAGCAGGAAGCCTGGAGGTCTACAGGCACCATCCTACCTGTGGTCACACACCAAGTACGTGGAGATGTTTGTCGTGGTCAACAACCAGCGGTTCCAAATGTGGGGCAGTAACGTCAGTGAGACAGTCCAGAGAGTGATGGACATCATCGCCCTGGCCAACAGCTTCACTAGGGGAATAAACACAGAGGTGGTGCTGGCCGGAATGGAGATTTGGACCGAGGGGGGGACCCCATAGAGGTCCCAGAGGACCTGCAAGTGGCACTCAGGAATTTCAATAGCTGGAGACAAGAGCAGCTCCTCCATCGTGTGAAGCATGACGTTGCCCACATGATTGTTGGACAGCATCCTGAACAGGGTATGGGGCAGGCGTTTCTCAATGGTGCCTGTTCCACAGGCTTTGCAGCAGCTGTTGAATCCTTCCATCATGAAGACGTCCCTCCTGTTTGCAGCGCTCCTGGCCCACGAGCTTGGGCACAACTTGGGTATTCAGCACGACCACTCGGCCTGCACTTGCAGAGATAAACGCTTCTGCCTCATGTATGAAGATATCACTAAAGAAAGTGGCTTCAGCAACTGCAGCTCTGACTACTTCTACCGGTTCCTGCAGGCACACAAAGGGGCCTGCCTGTTTAACAACCCTCAGCACAAAGGCCGCCTGCGGAGGGATTCCACCTGCGGCAACGGGGTGGTGGAGGGCGAGGAGCAGTGTGACTGCGGTTCTGCCTGTTACAGTCACCGGTGCTGTGACCAGACATGTAGACTGAAGGGGAATGCAGACTGTAGTGATGGACTCTGCTGTTTTGGTTGCCGATTGAGAAATAAGGGGTACGTGTGCCGTTCTGCTGCGGGAGAGTGTGACCTCCCAGAGTACTGTGATGGTACCTCTGCAGAGTGCCCTGCAGACAGCTATAAGCAAGATGGTACACCGTGTGATAGACTTCACTACTGTGTTGGGGGTCGATGTAGGAACCCTGATAGTCAATGCTCAGATCTCTATGGGTACACTGCACAGTCTGCCCCCGAAAACTGTTACATTTCAATAAACAGCAAAGGGAACAGGTTTGGAAACTGTGGCCGCCCCACCTCAGCAAAGTCAAGTTACGTTAAGTGTTTTGACGATAATATATTTTGTGGGAAAATTATATGTACAAATGTTAAATGGGTCCCATCAATCAAACTCCATTACACAGTGATCCAGATTCCTCATGAAAATGACTTCTGCTGGAGCATGGATGCCTATAACATTACTGATATCCCTGACGACGGGGATGTGCACTCCGGCACTCCTTGCGCCCCAAACAAAGTCTGCGTGAATTACTCCTGCACCGATTATGCTGCGCTCAACTATGACTGCGATCCAGCGAGAATGTGTGGTGGGAGAGGGGTCTGTAACAACTTAAGGCACTGCCATTGTGAGGTTGGCTATGCGCCCCCTGACTGTAAAACCATAGGTGACGGGGGTAGCGTGGACAGTGGTCCCCCTGCCAAACCAGATGATGAAAATCCAAGTCAGGATGAAAGGAAAAGTCACAGCGTTGGTCATGGTAATTTGGGCAGAGGTGGTGAAAATAGAGATGATGGCAAAACCATTGGCAATCTGGTGTATGTATTCCCCTTGTTTCTTTTTGGAATATTTTTAGCTCTAATTATTGCTATCATTCTTGCGGCTAGAAAGGATTTTTCACGGTGCTCAAAACAGGCCGTAGAAGAAACTGAAGAAGTGGCTGTACAAGAAGAGGAAGGAAGCATAAGAGAGGAAACAACAGAAGCAGAAAGTGACTGATAGGAAGATGCCTAGTACGGCAAACCCTGACACTTGACCTGGTGGCGCAAACGTGCAGTGGTCACTTATGGCTGCAGTGGCTCTGACTGGATCTCTGAAGTCTGTAGGAACGTACTCATGTAGGAGCAGGGGTTCTCTTCTGTCTTTAGTTTAGCAATTGATTATATATACATATGTAAAATCATTTCTAAAACATTTTATTATTTTTCCTTTTCACACTTTATGAAACCATTTAAATAAACTTCTCTCATGGATCATACCTATCAATTTTTTAGACATTTTTTCTTGTATTGATTCTAGAGAGAGGGGAGGTAGAAAGAGAGGGAGAGAGACATAATGTGGCAGAGAAGCATCAATCGGTTGCCTTTTGCGCATGCCCCCACTGAGGACCAAACCTGCAACCCAGGTATGTTCCCTCATCCGGTATCAAATCCTCAAACCTTTTCGTTTGCAGGATGATGCCCAAACCCACTGAGCCACATCAGTCAAGGCAGGGCCATTTGTGAGTTACCAGTTTTTCAGAGAATACCATTTTCCATCTACTTTGTAAGACATATATCTCTTCCAGGGTTTTTAATCCCTGTCACAATTACACATTATATAAAAGTTTTTTATTTGATTTGTTGTTGTAATTTTCCCAGTGGAGTATATTCATGAAAAGATTTTAAATTAAAAAGTAAATAACAGTTTTTAGACAAAGCATCATTTTAGGATTTATATATCCTATAAACTCCTTTAGATTTGGGACTCTCTGGAAGTGGCTGTTCTGATGCAGGGTGGTATAATCACCCCATGTCCAAGTACATGGGGGAGAATAAGCAACCTAGGCAAGAGGCAAACTTGTGCAGTGCTGAGTTTAGTTGGAAGTATTCATTTTTCCTTCTTTTTTTGTTTTTCTACTTTATTTATTATATTTATTTTGCATTTTCATTATTAAGTTAATGTATTACCCCCTGACAATCAAAAGAAACAGAGCATTGGAAGATAGTTAATTGTCAAGAAATCACAAAGCATGTAAAATAATAACATCAATTCTGTGCAAGACACTAAATACTTTATGTTCATTGCTTTAATTTAATTCTCCCACTCACTCTATTAGACCATCTTCTTGTACATGTGGAAACACATATAAAAGAGTTTTGCTGTAGAGCTAGTAAGGGATGGAACCTGAATCCTACCCCAGGTATAACTAAACGTACGTTCTCAACCTCCTCACGAGACTTTTCCTTTAGTTAAACAAAAAATGAGCAAGAAGACAATTGATATCCTTACTTTCCCAGTACATGGCTTGTCCCTCACTGACTTTAATGAAAGCCTAACAAATGATGCTGATCTCTCTCATGAACTGACCACATTGTGAAGCCATTGTTGGTGAAAGTGTCTTTTTCCCCATTACATTCTGACATCATGGAGTAGTGGGCTTGTATCTTGCTCAGCTCTAAGAGTCCTGCTGATTATAAGTGCTCAGTAAATGTTGACCAAGCAAAGCACTGGCTGGGTAGCTCAGTTGGTTAGAGCATAGTCCTGTCCACCAAAATGCTGCAAGTTGATCCCCCATCAGGGCACATAACTAGATTGCAGGTTCGATCCCAGGTCTGTGTGTGTACAGAGTTGCAGGGAGACCTTTCAATGGATCTTTCTCACATCAATGTTTCTCTCTCCTCCTGCCCCCACCTAAAATCAATAGATATATCCTTGGGTGAGGATTAAAAAAAAATGTTGACCAAGTGTTTAACCAGAGCCAACCTTAGGATAGGATGAAATTCTGCTAAAGGTTTAGATTATAAGGTTGAAAATATTATTTTTAAAGATTTTATTTATTTACTTTTAGGGAAAGAGGAAGGGAGAAAAAGAGGGAGAGAAACATCAATGTGCAAGAACTACATTGATCAGGTGCCTCTCACATGCCCCCATCTGGGGACCTGGCCCACCAACCATGCATGTGCCCTGACTGGGAATCAAACTGGCAACCTTTTGGTTCACAGGCCAGCACTCAAACCACTATGACATACCTGCCAGGGCAAGATGCAAACATTTTTTAAAATGTATTTAAAATATTTTTTAGGCTTAGTGTGTTTAAAAGCTTAACATTAGAGTAGAATTTTGGTGTTTCCTTGGGCAAATATGCTCACTGACTTCTGCCAAGAATGTAGGCAAAATGCTGACTCTTTAAAATTAATATTCCCCCACTTCTGGACATTAAGTTTAACATTTTTGAACTACAGAACAATTAAAAAAAAGTCCAATACCACTTTTGTTAGTTAATAAAATTATGAAAGTCTTCTATGAGGTTATGATAGAATGAAATATGAGGATAAGAAGGTCTTGAATCAATTTCTGAACAACAAAGTCACAGTGGCTCTTCTCACAGTTAGAAAATGTGTTAAAAATTATTTAAGAAGAGAACATTGAGGTAGACTCATGACAGACCAAGGGTTTGCAACCTCATGCCTGCTTCATTGCTGTCATCTAACTGGGCTTTCTAAGACCCTTACTAAGATGCTCCAGACACTGATTCTGTCCCCACAGTCTGGAGTCCAGGAACTTCCATTGCTCCCCCCATGATCTCAAGTAAATAGTGTAAACTTGGTATGGCATTCAAAGACTGTGACAATTGGGTGGTCCAGTCCATTTCAACTGTTGTCTCTTGTGGCTTTTAAAAACAAGCATTTCTTCATATTAGCATGTCTAACAGGAACAGCCTCAGTCCTCTTTACACACCATGGCCACTTCCCACTCTGGGCTTTTCAGCATAGTCATGTTTCCACTGAACGACCTTATTCTTCCACATGCCTGTTTAGTTCAGTTCTCACAGCTCCAGTGAGGCTCTTGAAACTGCTCTAGCACTCCATTCTGTACTCTATTGAGTGAAACATGGGTTCTCTTTGAGGGTACTTGTGGAGAGAACCTACACAGGGGGGAGTCAGCCTGAAACAGACCATCAAGTGTGTGTTTTCTATAGAACAAGGTATATAAATATCATTGCCACTAAGTAGAATTATCAATTCATACTTTGAGAGCGAGAAATGCATTTGTTTATTCATGGAACATGTTCTCAGAATCTCAAATTCTGGAGGTACTCATGAATTAGTGGAGAAACAGAAAGAAACGTTGTAGGAGACAAAAGGAATAAACTCTGAAACCACAACATTTCTTCTAGTAATGCATTTTCAGTCACCTAATAATCATGAACTGAGTGGTAATGCAGATAATTTCACATGAAAAATAAAAAATTTTCACATGAGAAAGAAAAAAAGTCAGAGTGCCAGTGCCAGGAAACAGAAAAGGCTCTCCCTCTGCCCTCCACCAACCCCTCAGCCACTAAAAGCCGTCCTCTATAGTTCCATGAAGAGGTAAATCAGGTCACTGTAAAACCAAAGAAATACAAATAAATATGCCAAATGAAGCAAAGCCTATTAATTAATCCTTTGTTTTTAAAAATGTGAATGGATCCCAACATTGAGGTAATTGATGAGTCTTGATTTAACAAAAGCTCACAGACAGGAATCTCTTTACAGGAAAACTAAAACAGTTGCAACAAAATGATATTAGTATGGCAAATCGCCTAATTATTGAGAGTCTACACTGAAGTATTTACATTTTGTATAATAAGGCACCTAAAGTAAGAATTTGTTAGGTGTATTCATGAATTTTTCTAGAAGAGATACAATTTTTATTCCTCTTTATTGTCATGTTTGGTGTTTTTATAACCACTGTGCATATACAAAAATGTTTTATGGAACAACTCAGGCCTACAAGAAAACAATAGAGCACCTCTCCTAAGCACTGAGAGCACCCTTTTCTTCTCTGTGGATGCTGACAGCATGAGCGCTATGTAAACTTTGAGTCTTATGTTCTTCCAGTCTGACAAATCCAGCCAAGAAGAATTTCCTGAGAGCAAAATAAAAAAAAAAAAATCCCTTTTAAAAGACGAAAGTCACCTTTCTTCTGATTGACATGGCTTTCATATTCTTGTCCCTAAATCCCAAGTGTTACTTTCTGGTTGATTGGTCTTGGACATGGAACTTCACTTTCTGGGGCCTCAGTTTCCTCCACACTAAGATGGCCACACAAAGAATGCCCCTCGCAGAACAGATGAGAGATTAAATTGGGCAGCACGTGTGCTGTATCTAGCGCAGTGCCTGGCATACAGTGGGTACTCAAATAAATTCTAAGAAGACATAAAATCAGGTGGGATGACCAGTGTAATAAGATTATGATATTAATCATATGTTCTACAATGATAAGATATTCAAATCAAGTCACAACACTGAATCAACATTTGAGATGTCTATTAAACATCCAAGTTGGCTTTTCAGCTCGGCAGCAAGATGATTGAGCCTGGAGTTGAGTCTATGACTATGCAGACAATATCAAATAAGGCAAAGTCTCTGATCTATTAAAATTTTTAAAGATTATAACCCTGCCCCAAGTAGGTTTGCAGTGACTGGAACTGAGAAGATGGAAGGATCACTCCATCTGCTGTGTAAGTAAGGAACAGGCAGGGGCAGAACAATGGACAGCTGCAGAAGCTAAGAATTCCTGGAGTGTGCCAAGCTGTGTCTTGGAAGCTTTCAGAATGGTTGAAATGCTGGTGGTGAGAAGAGGCTGATCTGGGTGGGTATATTGTGAGGTTGAGCTAAAAAGATCTGCTGATGAAGCAGATGTAAAGTATGAGAGAAAGGAAGCAAAGAAGGATGTCTCTCCAGGAGCTCTGCCCTGAGAAACTGCACAAACAGACTTTCCATTTGCTGAGGTGGGGATGCATGTGGAAAGAGTAGGCATTGGACTTGTTCAGTTTTAGATGTCTATTAAACATCCAAGTTGGCTCTTCAGCCCGGCAGCAAGATGATTGAGTCTGGAATTCAGGACCTACAGGACTAGGTGAGGCTGGCTGGGAAGTGAGCATAACCAGGGAAGGGAAAAGGTCCAAGGACAGGGTGAGGACTTAGCTCCCTGGCATTTCATGTGTAGATGTTGGTGAGATGAGAAGGATTCAA